TGTTATAATCGAACTAGAGCAGTGATGGCAAACCTATGACAAGCGTGTCAGAGGTGACACGCGAACTCATTTTTTGGTTAATTTTTCTTTGTTAAATGGAATTTAAACATATAAAATAAATATCGAAAATATAAGTCTTTGTTTTACTATGGTTGCAAATATCAAAAAATTTCTATATGTGACACAGCACCAGAGTTAAGTTAGGGTTTTTCAAAATGCTAACACGCCGAGCTCAAAAGGTTCGCCATCCCTGAACTAGAGGCCCAATGCATGAAATTCATGCAAGAATAGGCCTTCCTTCCCTCGGCTGCCGGCACCCACTTCCCTCTGGCACCCGGGACCCGGGCTTCCCTCGCAGCCCCGGCTTCGTCCAGACTGTCATCCAGAAGAACATCTGGAAGGACATCTGGTCTAATTAACATATTATGCTTTTACTAGAGGCCTGTTGCACAAAAAGATTCGTGCAATAGGCCTTCCCTTCCCCTGGCTGCTGGCACCGGCTTTCCTCCGGCACCTGGGACCCAGGCCTTCACTCCGGCCGGAGCCGCCTTCAGTCTTTGCTCTGCTGCTTCGCACCTACGTAGGCAAATTAACCGCCATCTTTGTTGGTGGTTAATTTGCATATCTCACTGATTAGCCTATGGGAGGCGTAGCGAAGGTACGGTCAATTACCATGTTTGTCTGTTACTAGATAGGATTATTATAGATCAGGGCAAAGACAGTCAACAGAACCTCAGCATGTATAACATAACTCCATGTACAGCATTTATTGAGCACTTGCTAAGTGTCAGGCATCCAGGCTGGGGTTATAAGCTGTGTGCGCCTCCTGCACGTAACCTCACAACCACAGAGGTGGGTAGGTCTATTATGACTTCCATTTAGTCAGTGGGGAGGCAGGCTGCTGAAAGAAGCTGACTAATTTTCCCAGGACACAGAGAGGAAGTATGAGAGCCAGGCTCTGACTCAGACACTCAGCCCAGCAGTGTCCTCACTACAGAGCCCCTCACTACAGAGCCCCCAGGGGGATGTCAGGACTCGAGCCATGGGTCCAACCTGCTCCTGTCTCTTCATCACCCATCACTGTCAGGCCATTCCTATGCTTATTGTTTTTTAATCCTCCCCCAAGGATATTTTTCCATTGATTTTTAGGGAGAGTGGAAGAGAGAAGGAAAGACAGAGAGAAACATTGATGTGAGAGAAACACATGGATTGGTTGCCTCCTGCAAGTGCCCCAACCAGGGCCCAGGCCAGGGAGGAGCCTGCAACCAAGGTATGTGCCCTTGACCAGAATCGAACCCGGGACCCTTTGGTCTGCAAGCCGATGCTCTTTCCACTGAGCCAAACTGGCTAGTGCTGTCAGGCCATTTTTATATAAGTTTTGGGGTATATGTTTGCTTCTTTGGGAAATTATTGGAAAGTTCAAAAGAAAATATATAAATCAGCCACTAGAAATAACTAGGCTTATGATTTTTATATTTTCTTCTATTATTGAGAAAACTAAGACTATACTGTATATACACATTATTTTTTTACCTAACATGCTAAAAATGAACCCTGTTTCAACATTTGTCACTTTCGTACACCCCATTTTTAATTGTTTTCCTGCAGTGTGTTTTATGGGTGAGTTATCCATTTAGTCCTTTAGGCAAGTACATCTGTACTGTGTCCGAGTTTGCAATTACAAATAGAGCTGAGGTGATGTCTTTGAACCAAACAGATTCCCAGTGGAATGAATGAGCTGAAAGGTATGAATAATGCAGGAGTATTGCCAGCCTGTGACAGGCTGTCCCAGGTGACTACACCTTGCCCCTCCCCCGCATGTGATGCACAGACCAGATCCTCCCAGACACAGGGTGGTGCAAAGTAGGGTTACAGTTGTGAGCCTGAGAAACATTGTTTATTCTTGTACTAGAGGCCCGGTGCACAAAAATTTGTGCACTCGGGGGGGTTCCCTCAGCCTGGCCTGTGCCCTCTCGCAGTCTGGGACCCCTCGGGGGATGACCACCTGCTGGCTTAGGCCCGCTCCCCAGGGGATCGGGCCTAAGCTGGCAGTCGAACATCCTTAGCGCTGCTGAGGCGGGAGAGGCTCCCACCACCCCCGCTGTACTGGCAGCTGTCAGTCTGGCTTGTGGCTGAGCAGAGCTCCTCCATGTGAGAGCACACTGACCACCAGGGGGCAGCTCCTGCATTGAGTGTCTGCCCCCTGGTGGTCAGTGTGTGTCATAGTGACCAGTCATTCCCAGTCGTTCTGCTGTTAGGGTCAATTTGCATAGTACCCTTTTATTATATAGGACAGAGGCCTGGTGCATGGGTGGGGGCCGGCTGGTTTGCCCTGAAGGGTGTCCTGGATCAGCCCCTTCCTGGTAGGGGTCCCCGCTGGGTTGCCTGGCCAGCCTGGGTGAGGGGCTGAGGGCTGTTTTCAGGCTGGCCACACCCCGTTCATGGTGGGGGGTCCTGCTGGGGTGCCTGGCCAGTCTGGGTGAGGAGCTGATGGCTGTTTGCTGGCTGGACACAGCTCCTTCAGGGTGGGGGTCCCCCCTGGGGTGCCTGGCCAGCCTGAGTGAGGGGCTGATGGCTGTTTGCAGGCAGGCCACAGCCCCCAGCCACCCAAGCTCCCAGTGGAGGCTGGCTGGAAGCAGGTATCTGGGATTTATTTAGCTTCTATAATTGAAACTTTGTTGCCTTGAGCGGAGGCCACAGCCAGCCAGGGCAGGTGGGAAGTTTGGCTTCCTCCATTGCCGGGGCAACCATGCCTCCTGCTTGCTCCAGCTCCATAGCTGCCGGCCACCATCTTGGTTGGGTTAATTTGCATATAGTCACTCTGATTGGCTGGTGGTCATGGCTTGGGGCATAGCGGAGGTGCAGTCAATTTGTATGTTTCTTTTTTATTGGATTAGGTTATTATTTATTAATTATTGTATCATTTTCCATACCAACAGCTGTAAACCTACTTTTGCCTCACCCTGTATGTGCCTAAATGCACTCTTATTTATACAAATTGTAAATTTTAATGTATAACCTTAAACGCTGTAAGATAATTAACAAACAAGCAAGTTGCAAAGTGTTCCTCACCGCCGTGAAGCTGAGCTGCGAACACTCTTGGGCGGGCTGCGTGTCCGGCACACGGAGAGGCAGAGTCTAGGGCGGAGTTCCCGCCCGGCCTTATCGTGCTGGGTGGGCGGAAGGGTTGCTGGTGACACAGAGCTGGGGCGTGCCGCCCACAGCAGCGCTCACACCGGCCAGGGCCTCCGTGCCACTTATCAGCATCTGGAGCTCTGCCCCAGCTATCTGCTGGCCTGAGCTGGCAGGGCCCGGGTGGGGCTGGGACTGCTGGGTGTGGCCACCGGGAGCTGAGCTGCCCCCCATCCCAGCGCACACCTGGCCTGAACCACAAAGGTCGAGGAATCCAGAGCAAATGTCCCTCCCTTTGCCCTGGATTCCTAGGAAAAAAGAATTCAGCAAATAATTAAGGTTTTCTCTCCCTGAGGGAACTAAGCTGGTTCCCTCCTTACAGGACGAGCCTTCGCCGTGACTCAGTCCCTGGATTTGTTTTCAGCAGCTGCGGTGCCTGCTTTCCTGAGTTCTGACCTCCTGCCCAAGGAGCCCAGCCAGCCAGCTGCCCCCATTTCTCTGGGAGGTCTGAGGGGAGGGAAGTGTAACGGACGCACATGCTGGACTCCAGGACTGTGCCAGGTGGCAAGGTTACCTCAGTTGGAGGGGGTCGCTCCTGAAAGCCACCCGGAGTGGCATCGACCCCACAGGTTCCTCTAAGCACACGTCAGTGCCTGGCCAGACTCCCTCCTGGGAGCTTAGCGGCAACCTCAGTGAAGCTTGGCTCTGTGTTGGCAGGATCCTAGCCGCGGGAGTGCCGGCCCCTGGCGAGGGAGCAGGACTCCTCCCTGGATGGGTGCCTTGCTCCTGCACCTGTCCAGGTGTCTGCGGCCCCTGCAGGGGGAGCCTCGGGGGGGCAGGCACTCCCATTCCCGCTGATGCAGCCCTTTGCAACTACCACCGTCACCTTAGCAAAGCGCCAGGGGCGTGGTGGCCCGGGGCCTAACTCCCAGACTGCGTTTCTGCTCTGGGAGAGGAGCGAGTCGAACATGCTCGATTCGAACTGTAGGTTTCTGGGCACTTGCTTCTGAGGGGCCATTGCCTGCAGTAGAAACGCCTGCCCGAGAGGCACTTAGTCCTGCCGCCTGGCTTCTCCTACCCAAGTCCTTGCAAGTCGGGGAACAGAGGTCAAGGACTAAGCACCAGGTCAGTGTTGGCCTGGCTGCTCCGAGGCTGGGGAGGGTTCTCAGGCCTCCCTGGTCTTGGCTCTGCCCTCCTCGCGGCGCCTCCTTGCCTCATGGGTAGCCCAGCGCTGTGGGCTTGGGGAGAGGGACCATGAGCTGACGGTGCGGCCCGGCACACCGTGTGCCCACCTGCCCGGGAGCCCGGCGCCCTGTCCAAAGATTTGGGTCTGGAAGCCGACTCTCGACTTGTACACTTTGACCTGAACCAAATGCGCTGGTTTCACTGTTTTGGGATAGTCGGAGGCAGCTTCCTGTAAATGGCCCGCTGGCCCAAGGATACGGGGCAGATGGGAAAGCTCAGCCGTTCGTTTTCTAAGGGTCTGCAGAATCCAGCCCATATTTTTGTTCTAATAACTACCAAGCTGATTTTCCACGCTTTGGAGTGACGCTAGTACTGACTCATGGAGACAGCCCTTCCCACTGGGTCCATCCTGGAGAGGGGCGGGGGGCTGCCCTGCGAGCAGCTCAGAGGTTAGACACAGCTCTTAATGTCGCGTTGATGGAAAACCCAGCACGAGAGAGAGTGGACGATAATGTCGAGGACTGTCTGTGAAGGCTGCATCCTTATAGTTTTAAATTCTGTGCGTGGATGCAGCAGTATCTCCAGCCACTTCTTCGAGGCCTCGTCGCGCCCCTGTGACCTGCCGGAGTTCGTTGCTCCTGCCGCGCTCGCCACAGGCTGGTGTCCCTGCTGTTTCCCTGCAGAGCCAAGATGGCCGTCCTCTCCAAGGAGTACGGGTTCGTGGTCCTGACCGGGGCCGCCAGCTTCATCATGGTAGCGCATCTCGCCATCAACGTCTCCAAGGCCCGCAAGAAGTACAAGGTGGAGGTGAGTGGGACACGTGGTCTGGGCGAGAACTTGTTTCCCGTCCTGGAGGGGGAGGCGAGGCGAGGCGAGGGCGAGGGCGAGGCGAGGCGAGTGGCCAGTGGCGGCAGCGTGAGGACTGGACCTTGTAGAAAGGCTGCCCCTTCCCGGCAGGAAGAAGGCAGGGCGCTGCGGGGGCTGGTTTCACGGCTCCTGCAGGAAGGGGACAGCCTGCTGGGCCGGAGCTGCTCTCCGGGAAGGGGGATGCTTCTGCGGAGGGTTCAAAGGCAGTGCTGTTCCCGGCGTGGCACCCCCAGGCCACTGTCCCGTTTCCACACACTGGCTGGAGCCGCCGGACCGGTGGGGGCCCATCAGATCCCCCGTTCCTTCTGGCTGGTCCAGAGGATGCCGCTGCCATTGGCCCGGGAGCGGTTCTAGGTGTCTTTCTGTTTAGTGACTTATCGTTAGACTCGAGCTGCTTCTAAGTGCTCTTATTTGTCCCTAGTTCCGTTCCTTTTCTTAATGGAGCGCCTGTCAAAACCTCTCCTGTTTCTGCTGCCCCTGTCGGGGACCCTCGGGAGCTGTGGGAGGGTCTTCCCTGTGGTGTCTGCAATGTGTCAGAAACCCGGCCGCGATGGCCGTGGCTCAGCTGCCCCGTCCCTGACTCCTGGGCATTCACAGCCCGAGTGACTGCCTCTGAGGACCCAGCCCTGGTCACTGCAGACAATTAAGCCGACGTAGAAGCTTGGGCTAGATTAGCGTCCAGGTTCATGTTCACTGACCGTCTGATCAGCAAGCCCTCTGTGTCCGCAGTATCCCACCATGTACAGCACGGACCCTGAAAACGGGCACCTCTTCAACTGCATCCAGCGAGCCCACCAGAACACGTGAGTGTGGCCCTCGGCACCAGACGCCTCTGTCCCGCCCCGCCCGTCGCGCCCTGTCTGTGAGAGCGACGGTGGCGACCACGGGCGCTCACGAAAAGTCTCAGTTAAAAACCTGTAAGCGAGCAGGCTGGACAGTAGCACAAGGAAGCGTTGGAATGGTGGCGTCCTGGGTGACGCGCCAAGGCTGTCTCCCGTGCCGCACCCCCGCAGGAGGGGTAGCCGCCGCTCTAGGCGACACCGAGTCCCCCAGCCCAGGGAGTGAGGGCTCCACGCTCTGCAGGGAAACCCGTCCGAGTCACAGAGCCCCTCGCAGCTGGTCAGACGGCGCCCCCGCTCCTGCTCCTCATCCCCTGCCCGAGGCGGGCGGTGGCCGGTCTCCCTCCTCAGTGTTTAGTAGGAGCCCCTCCGCACTGGCTGGGGCGCTTCCTAAAAGTGTCTTTCTGTCTCTTGCAGGTTGGAAGTGTACCCTCCCTTCTTATTTTTCCTCGCGGTGGGCGGTGTGTACCACCCGGTGAGTTGTCCCCGGGTGTCATCTGGGATCCGACGTATTTCCTCCAGGCCCTGCGTATTTATTGAAAAGAATTTCATTCGGTTACTGCTAACAGAGTTTTTGTGGTTTTGGTTTTTTAAATACATTCTTATTGATTTCAGAGAGGAAGGGAGAGGGAGAGAGAGAGAGGAACATCAATGATGAGGGAGGATCATTGATCGGCTGCCTCCTGCACGCCCCCTACTGGGGATGGAGCCCACAGCCTGGGCATGTGGCCTGACCAGAATCGAACTGGTGACCTCTTGGTTCCTGGGTCGATGCTCATCCACTGAGCCACGCCTGGCTGGGCAGAACCCTGGTGTGGTTTTTTACTCTTTATTGTTGAAAGTATTAGATATGTCCCCTTTTCCCCGTTGACCCTCTTCAGCCCACCCCAGCCCCTGCCCCAGACCTTCACCACCCTATTGTCTGTGTTAACAGAGTTCTTTAAGTCAGGCAGATTTTCCGTTGTGGGTTTTTTTCACAGATGAGGGGAAACATCATGGATACTGTGTAACCTTCTCAAAGTCAATTAGCTACAGGATAGGAGAGTCAGAATTTGAACCAGGTCTGACTCTATGTTTTACTTTGCACATTCATCCATTCTTGCAACAAGCACTCACTGGTCGCCTGAGGTGACGGCGGTGAACCAACCAGCTGCCTGGTCTCAGGGACCTGACCGTAGGCACCTGAGTGTATGCGGTGGCCCCTTACGGGGTGATGGGCCTCGGAGGCCACGGTAGCCCTGGGGGCCGTGGGGTTGGTCTGCCCTCTACCTTGTGTAAATCAAGCCGGTTTCCTGAGCCCGATTACTTGCCTTTTGGTCCTGCCTTGGCCAGAAAGTGTCCTCTTACCCGAGTCCTGACGGAGGACAGGCGTTTCCCCTTCTGGGACTGGGCCTCCACAGCCCTCGATCCACAGCAGCTGCCAGAATAGCACGTCTGCAGTTCGTGACACGAGTGAAATTACTAACTTTCTGCTAAAACATTGTGCGGTCAACAATGTTAATACAGCTGACAGCTCTGCCTATTCCTTGAATGCAAACACTAACATGTCCCTCCCCACCCCCCTTCTTTAGCGAGTCGTTTCGGGCTTGGGCTTGGCCTGGATCGTGGGACGAGTGCTCTATGCCTATGGCTACTACACAGGAGGTAAGGCCACGCGGACTCCCGCCAGGGAAGCAAGGTGCAAACCTGAGGCGGCTACATTTCCCTTCTTAGCAGGACTTTAGGGAAAGGGCGGAACTGGAAGTTAGGTGAAAGGTCCGTTACCGTCTTCCTTTTTACTCACCTTTGAATAGTAACAAAACTTACCTTTATCGAGCATTTTCTGTGTCCATTGCTGCTCTAAGAACTTTGCATCTCGCTATTTCAAAACTTCCGGCAATTCTGTGATGTAGATAATAGCATCTTCTTTCCCAGATGGGGAAACTGAGGCTTAGAAAGACGAAGGCTCTCTCTGCGTCACAGAGCCACTGGGTGGAAACTATAAGCCAGGACTCGGAGACAGGCAGGGTGACGCCGGGCCCTGCTGCTCACGCCTGGGGGCCGGCAGACAGAGGGACAGGGTCCTGCTGCCCGTGCGTCTTTAAAGGGGAGGGCGGCCCGGCCCAGGTCCGGGCCTCGCAGTTCCCATGACTGTCCTGTGACTTTCTGAGGCCCACGCAGCCCTGGCGTAGCGCCTGGCGTGGCGGGAGGGGGCTGACCGCTTCTGACCGGGCGGTCTGCCGCCCGGAGGGCAGGGCTCTCGGACGCCGACGGCAGCCTGCGGAGCTGCCCGTAACCTCTCCTCCTCCTCCTCCTCCTCTTCCAGAGCCCAGCAAGCGGAGCCGGGGGGCCCTGGGCTCCGTCGCCCTCCTCGGCCTGATGGGCACCACCGTGTGCTCCGCCTTCCAGCACCTCGGGTGGGTTAAACCCGGCTTGGGCGGCGGGTCCAAGTGCTGCCATTAAGGGTGGGCAGGGTGTTAAAAACCCCCATTCATTTTGAATGACTTACTTTTATTTCCAGTTACTTTTTTTTTTCTAAATATAATAAAATTTATCTGGCACCAGCCTCCTAAGTAACCCTGACTCTGTGACTTATTTCCTGTTGAGTCTTTATGTAAATAAGCAGCTTGCCCCTACTCCTGCCCCCTGCTGGCACCCTGCCCCCTGCCCCCGCCTGGCACCCTTGGCAGCTGTGAAAACTGGGCTCAGAGGAAGGGTGCAGTTGAAGAGGTGCCCGTGTTCAGGGTCCGTGCTGTACGTGGTGGGATACTGCGGACACAGAGAGCTTAATGATCAGACGGTCAAGGCAGTTAGGCTCTGGTTAGGATCTGAGATTACAGCCACGTAGGATAACAATGAGAATTCTTCAGAATCTCTACTGAAGGCCGGCAGAGGGCTCATTTGGTTGAGAATCGTCCCGTGCACTGAGGGCTTGATGATTCGATACCCAGTCAGGGCACGAAGCTATGTTTCGGGTTTGGTCCTCGGTTGGGGTGAATACAGAAGGCAACCAATAGATGTTTCTCTCTCTCCCTCCCTCTCTCTAAGCATGTCCTTGGGTGAGGATTAAAATAATAATCATCATCATCCTAGCCAGTTTGGCTCAGTGGATAGAGCATCAGCCTGAGGACTGAAGGGTCCCAGGTTCGGTTCCAGTCAAGGGCATGCACCTCGGTTGCAGGTTCCCCAGCCCTGTTTGGGGCACGTGCAGGAGGCAACCAATTGATGTGTCTCTCTCACATCGGTGTTTCTCTCTGCCTCTTCTCTGCTTTCCACTCTGTCTAAAAAAATCAATGGAAAATATCCTCGGGGGAGGATTAATAACAAAAAAAGTAATCGTAATCATAATAAAATGAGAAAGCCACTTAAAAATAAAATAAAATCTCTATTGAAGATTGCTTCTCTTGCTGACAAACTGAAGTAATAGAGCACATTTAAGGTGAAACTTCTCGTAAGGGAATGTGAGCGCTCATATTTGGATGCAAAGACCGGATTGAGTCGGTGCAAACGGGGAAGGAGACACTGGGCAACTGAATGAGGACGACCTAGAGGTTTTGGTGGGTTTAGAGACGGTGCGATTGGCAGAAGGAGGTGGCTGCTCCAGGAACGAATATATCAACAGAAGTCAGGGGCCCAGGCCTGCGCCGTCCAATCTGGCAGCCACTTGGGGCCATTTACAGTCAAATTGATAAGATTTAATAAAACAGATTCCAGGTGCTCAGTAGCTGTGAGGGTCAGAGCCCAGGTGGGACCCCAGCCCTGAGTAAAATCCATGCATTTCCATCGTGAGGCATTTGGGGGTAGGCAGCTCCACTCGGCCACCGCGGATGGTCAGCACTGGCCACGGGACCCCGAGCGCCCGGCGTTTGGCGAGGCTGGGTGATCCACGCACTCTCCAGGGCGAGTCTATGAGGTGTCCACGAAGCTGGACGTGTGTCCTTTTACGTTACAATGACCCTCACGACGGGATGGGGATTGTGAAGGGAGAGGGTTTGGGTCTAACTCTAATGAAAGGTAATAGTTAAGAATCTGTGATAAGCTAGGGGGTGTGTGTGTCTTTGTCCGGGTTTTGTTAGTCAGGAATTGCCCCAGAGAGATGGGCACCTGTGGGGGCCCCTTCCCCACTTGGGAGGTGGGGTGAGGTGGGGTGGGAGAGGGTGAGGGTGAGGCAGGCAGAAGGCCTGGGCACAGGTGTGTCTTCACCTTTGCAGTCTTAACAGAGATGCTTTCCAAGTGACGGGCCACTTGTCATTTTGGCACAGCAGGGGCTCAATGGCGTTTTGTAAGGAACCTGTCCCTCAGAGGGTCTGTCCCTGAAGTGGGGACCCCGAGCTCTCCCCGTTCCCCTCTCTGTTTCCCCTACAACCGCATGTCCTGGGACCCTCAGCTGGATGCAGTCCAGTCTGGGGGTCGCTGCTGCAGAGTGGCCGTCATCTCCCTTGTCTGGTGGAGAGAGCGCTGGACCTTGGAGAACCACCAGCCTCCTGCTGCAGTTCCCTGCTGCACCTCGGGCACTCCTCGGGGCTGTGTGCCCCAAGCCTCAGCTTGCCCTGTGGTGAGTGGGGCCACAGCACTGCCTCTGAAGTTCTGGAGGCTCCAATGAGTCACAAAGGGCCCTGCACAAGGTGTGGGAGGACCCGCCTTGGGAGCCACCTGCTGGAGAGCGGCCAGGCAGTCCTCCTGGGGCACCGGGCCCCACGAAGCTCTCCCAGTGTGATCCAGTGTGGGCTCCATATCTCCCCCCTCGGCCAGCACTGCCTTCCAGAACGTTCTGACCCGGAGCCATGTGGGTTAGAACTACACTCGTCTGCTTATGCACAGGTTTGTTTTCAATAAATGCAGTTGACCCTGCGTATCTGCAGGTTCTGCAGCTGCAGATTCAACCCACAGAGGACAGAAAACAGCATCGCACATTCCTAGCCGAGGATCGGAAGTGCTGTTTCCAATCCCAGGTTGGCTGGTCCGCAGCTTCCAAGGGCAAGAGTGGAGTCCAAAGTTACAGTGGATTTTCGACGGTGCCTGGGTGTCCTCCCCAACCCCCCCCCCCCCAAGCCCCCATGGTTCAAAGGCCACTGCCTTCTACACCGCGTGCCCGGGACAGTACCCACCACCACGTGCAGCGCTGAGGCGGGAAGCACAGCTGGGACTGACGATGACTCTGTATTTGATAGGAGTGAGAGCAGCGGCCTGTAGCTCATGGCCCTGGATCAGCCGGGCTGTGCACACGCTTGCCTACACAGGACCCTGGAGACTCCAGCTGCCCACCCCCACTCCAGCTGACCTCAGTGGTTTTACGGCTTCTCTGGCATTCTAACGTGTGGCGGAAGTTGAAACCCTGGCTCCACAAGCCTGGTGAACAAACATCACGGAGTCACCTGCTAAAATGCAGCTTCTGAGCCCCAGGTCTGTGGCGGGCGCTGCAGCTCCGCAGGTCCCTGGGCCACTGAGGGGCCTGTCCCCCAGCCCTTCAGTCCATCACAGACCCGAGTCCCCTCTGAGCCCAGGGACAGGCAGGTCCGGCTCTTTGGGGGCCCGCAGGAGTCTAGATCTTCCTCTACCGCCATGGGCGTGGTGGATTCTGACTTACTGGGAAAGACCACTCCCACTCCCGCTCCCACGGACCTGATCTCTGCTAGTTTTCACACACACACACACACACACACACACACACACACACCCTGAAAACAAAGAGCGGGCTTGGTTAGAAGAAAAGCTAAGGAATCGTGTTATTCGAAGAAGAGCCCAGCTCAGCACCAGGGTCAGAGGCCGGTGGGTTCTGCTTTGGGAGAAGCGGTAGGACGCAGCTGCACCTTCTCTGCGAGACCTGGGCACGCATTCTGCCAGACCCTTGCTGGGGCCGCCAGAGGCCCACGGGCCTGAAGTGAAGGGCAGCCGGGGAGGGGCCAGCGGCGACCTTCTGCCCAGGGGAGAGGCTGCCCCTCTCCACCTGCAGGTCCCTGAAGAGCCACATAAGATCAGGACCCTCCGCTCTGGCAAGGAGGGTGCCAACAGGAGGCATTTGTTTCTTTCCTGCATTAATACAATCCCCCAAACACCCTCTGTAAACACCTCCAGCCCAGGAATCCGCCAACCAAAGACAACTCACAATGCATCTCCAGGCCCCGAGTCGGACCCATGTATACGTGGCCTCATCCCAGTCCTGGGTTAGTTGGCAGTTATTCCCTCCAAGACGATCCCAAGAGAAGCAGCTCCCTCGGGGGTGAGGTCCGCTGCGGAGGGAGGCGGCCTCTGCTTCTCACCTTGCTGCCCGCTCACAAGACAACTCATATTTCCACGTCAAACGTTGCTGGCCGGTCATGAGAAAACTTGAGTCTGCCCTCACATTAATTCAAGTAATTTTAAAACTACGCATTGCTTTCAGGCCTTGAAATTACTTAATGTAAGTGCAGACATGAGCTGTCTCGTAACCAGTCAGCAAGGTGTTAACTCTCAAAAGGAAATCAAAGTAATAGAAGAAGAAAAAGACTCCGGGGAAATGGGGCCACATCCCACAAATTCTCCAGGTGAGGGGGCGGCTCCAGGATCAGCCCGTTTCCTTGGTGGGGCCCGTGGGCGAGAGTCACTCCTCTCGGAAGGTGTTTCCTCAACCACAAGGTGTCTTTTCAGGGAAATCTGTCCAACGGGACAGCGGACAGCCCCCCGGAACACAGTGTGCTGTGCGGCCGGCTGAGTAATGCTCCCCCAGTGTGGCCAAGTCTCGTCCCCAGAACCTGTGCGTGTCCCCGTACGTGGCAGAGACCTTGCAAAGACAAGCAAGGATCTTGAGAGGAGAGAAGGGGACCGTCCTGATGGGTCCCCATCACAGTGTCCCTGGAAGAGGAAGGCGATCGGAGCAGAGAGGACGGAGGGTGCTCAGCTGCGCGCTGTGAAGAGAGGAGGCGGGTTGCCAAGCGAGGCAAGGAGTTACTGAGGGCTGGAGGGGGCGAGGGAGTCCATGACCTCCAGAGCCTCGGGGGCAGCGTGGCACCAACACCCTGGCTGTGCCCCTGAAGCCATTTCCAACGTCGACCCCAGAGCTGGGAGATAACGGATGTGAGTGGAAACGTGAAGAGGAGTCCTAGGAAGCTAATCCACTGAGTTAAGTCTAGGGATGGGGAAGGGGAGCGGGAGGCGCAAGTCAGATCACGCGCTGGCCTTGTCCTGCTCCTTTGTCCTGATCCTCGCAAACTGGCCTGCACAGGATCGCCCCTCTCCCAGGAGTGAGCGCTGAATGGGAGGTGCGGCAGCGGGAACACAGTGAGTTCAGACGTCAGCCCCTCCCCCTGCTCACTTGTCATCCCAGGCAGCTCCGCCTATGTAAGCCACACGGGGTCCCCCAGACACGGTGAGACCATTCTGCTGGCCGTGCCCTGCACCCATGTGCCCGCTGTGCAAACACCGAGGGGCTGATCCCCGGGTCCCATCCTCTAGGCACGCACCTGCCATCAGAGCTCATACGCCCACGCAGGCCCAGGAGTGAGATCCAACCTTGCCTCTGACTGCTAGGCTAGCTGTCTGTCCTGAGGGTTAATTCTCCGTGTCAGCCTGTGTTGGCCTGACTGGGCTCAGGGATGCCA